TTCATAAAAATAATACTAAATTAATACATAGCTACGCGTTTACATTAGTGAGTAAGTGAGTAATATAAGGTTCTGATATATACTGGTATTATATATTTATGATTATGTTTATTCTATAGTATATCTATTTAGTAGTAAATATATTTATATTGATCTTGAATGCACGTCATGTAAATTTAGAATATGATTTTAAGACAACAGTTACTAACGATAGCCTCTCGCGTTACCACGTTTGTTTAATAGGCTACTTTCTACGGTTATAATTTTAAACAGTGTGTAGCAGGTGCTTGCAATGAGGAAAATCGTGTGGTTCAAAATGAATGATACTTCTACCTCTTAAACATTCAAATTATTTTTAATCCAAATACTAAAGTAATTTAATACGTGAAAAAGCAAAAAAAAATAAAAAAATAATACCTTTATAGTTTTCCTTTAATATGTACGTATACTGAATAATAGTTGTAAGAATGAAATGTGAATAAATATAGCAACCCGAATTCCAATAAAAATAAAAGCAGTTTTACGGAATGTTTATTTATTATTTTCCCATTATAGAAGTCTTAGAAAAATACTCTAATCTGATTACTTAGAGTTGGAATTTTACTTATTGACATGATTTTATTTACTCTAATTATTGGATTTCTATAAAAGGTAGTTATTATTTTTAAACTAATCAAAATTAAAAAAAAAGTATAAGTAGATAGTTTAACTGACTAGTGGCTATAGTGACTACTATATCATTTATGCAGGTTCGTTATAAATTTTAACCATMTGATTCATAAACGGAATTAGTTAATTATGTATAAAAAGAAAACTGAAAAGATAGAATTTCAAAATAATAAATATTTTTAGCACAAGCATAAGGTCTTAACTATTCATTGTACCTTTACTTTTACATTAAACGTTATTATTATTATTTTTTTTTTAAATTCTTCAGTGTATATGACGATAGTTGTATTTTTCTTAATTGCCTTTTTTTTTCACCAAAACATCTACTATTTTAAAGCTCTTTCTCTATTGAAAAAAATCAATCCTCCCACACCATAACTTTGGTGTAGAAGAAGCACTAATCTTACCTCACTACATAACCACCTCTCTACTATCAAAACAGATATTATTTTATTTTCCTCAATACAGACATTGCAACTTTACTCGACAAAAGATTTTTATAGTAAATATTATATTATGTAATATTATACATCACTTTGTAACATTCAAACCGATTTGATCGTTGAAATTTATTGTACGAGTAAAAATTTTTATTTAATCAAGCATATTTTCGTAAATTCCTCTATATTTAAAAATAATATTAAATAGGTACAATTATTATTATCACTTTAAAGTGATTATTAAAAATAAGATACATCTTAAAAATCACCCTGACAATGCACGTACAAATGTTTTAGAATAAAAGTTAGCGTGGTATTTCAACCGTTATTTGTTGTGACTTGGTGAAGAATAATAAAATTATTTTTTAAAGCTTTGTAGATTTTCTATAGGTGTGTAAACATATATCCATCAGAAAAGTAAAAGGAAAAATAAGAAAGCTTAATAATAATAATAATAATAACAAAGACTCCCGTTGATATAACCAATCCATTGATTTCTATGGAGTTCTCATCACAGATGACCTGTCATGTTTTCGAGGTAGTTTTTGCATCCAAAATGTACAGTCCAAGGGGGCATCCAATGACCATGCAGTTTTATTATTTTCTTACTGTACAGTGTACATACACAATTACTGAGATAGAGACCCGTCACGTACATGGTATACTTTCACTTTGTAACCTTATAGATCACATCGCTGTCGATCATCATCACTGCGTTATTGATAGGTTGTTTCTGCTACCAAAATGGGCCGACTCCTCAAATAATATWACTAGGTGTTTGTTAATAGAAGGTGCAAAAAAAAAGACATTAAGTCAGTTATTGCGGCAGAAAAAAGTCCACAAACGCTTTAATTTTTTGTATATTTGAAACGGAACTTGCCGCAGGACGAATCATACCTTAGAAGTAAACAATATACATGTATATCCATTCATATAATTTTTTTTTCGATTTTTGGCACACAGTCAGTCGACTAAGAAAAATGTTTTTCAGAGGATATTTTTATCGAACATAATGTAAACACGTGTTTCCAAGTTGTAGGGTAATTACGACGACAAATCGTATACAGAAGAATATCGCTTTCTAATGTATATGAGACGATTGTAATCTGCAGTATGTATGTATATATATATAGTAGTTCTATAAGAGATACAGATCTGATTGGACAATGTTACATTGTATTCGTTAAAAAATTTGTATTTGGATAAGTGTTACGTCGTTAAAACAACTCCAAATACAAAAGCCACAAAGAAAATATGTAGTTTTTAATCGGAACGTATTTGAAACGAGATTCCCGATTGCTTGTTAATGTTTTATATTCCCATACGTAGACTGTGTCAAACTTTTAGATACCTATTGACATTTTTTTTTAATCTATAAAATTCCGAATTCGACGGTAGTTTTTATTTATAGTTTCGAAGATTATTATTATTATTATTTATTAACTATATGTAGGTTAGGTGTATTTATTGTATGTTTGAAACCATTAGGAAATGTTATGTACCGACAGCTCACTTTTCTGATTAATTTTTATGATAAATGATTTTCATATACGATTTAATTAGTGTAATGTGTAGTTTAATTTAAAAATGTTTATACTAAAAATGTCAGTGTTTAGTTAATTTTTTTTTACATGTAGGTTTAGTACCTAAAAATAATTTAAAACATTTCAAATAAACATGTTTAGATAATATTGTTAATTTAAATACCTCAAGTTACTTTTAAAAGACAACGAATAACGGTAAACAACACAGAAATATGAAATTGGAGGTCAAAAGCCAAACATAGTCCGACCAAGAGAATCAAAAGAAATGCAAGCGGTGGATATATAATATATATATGTATATATTCACATGTGTTATGCGCAAAACCGCAAAATGTGATATGGAATAATCATTTTGTTTCTTCTAATATTATAGAGGCTTTCTTTTTATACATAGAAGCAAATTCAGCTGGAGAGTATAACCTGCAGGTCTGATTTCATCTGGTCAACAGCGGGGGGATTCGTCTTGAAACTAGTTATTATTACCACGTAGGCATACCTACAATTTGCTTAGATTGCCTGGTACACGAACACTGACTATCAGTAATACAAATCCAAAGTAATTTGTGAACATAATTATTGAATATTATTCGATAATATTTTGAGAAATAAGGAAAATAAACATTTTTTTAAGCATAACATTTCTGTTTATATAAAAATGAAATATAATTAGGAACKCTATTTAATGTCAAATAAAAATATTATATAGTACATAGAATAAAGTTTATAATAATTAATAACTTATAAGTTTGAAATATTTAGGTAAAGTTAAATTATTATAGTTTATAGTCTTGGTTTTGGTAAATTAATAAACACTAGATTGTTATACAAATTGGGAAATACGATGTAATTCAAGAGGTATCCATAGAATTTACGTTTTCATATACAATAAATATTAAAATGTTGTATATTATATGCCAGTGTGTTGTTACTGAAACATTGAAGAGTATCTATGATTTACTTTATGGGCATAACAAATAAATAGGTACATAAAATAAAATGCTGTAAGTTTTAAATTTTAATCACTAATGTGTGTGGGATATAATATAATAAAATCATTATCTTCTAATTCAGATTATTATTTCCACAAATAACTAGTTTTGTTTTAAAATCTTGTTGAAAATATATCAATTATATCATTAATCAAATAATAATATTATATATTATTTTTACGGTACAATATACATTTTTCAAGTCTAATTAAACATATTTTATTTTTTTGGATTCGGATACGAATATACGATATGTACGAAACATAATGATGTATTTAATTATTTTCGATAACATGAAAGTGCTTTTATTTTTCATCTAATTTAAAACATATCAACTAACTGAATATTTGATGGTTAAATTATATTTATTATTATATCATATCATAATATGGGCCATTTGACATTTAGCATTGAAACTTGAAAATGGTTTGGTGAGGTCATTGTCTGAATAGAAAATAGCAATTGTATGGGTACTTGACGCACTATAAACATGTAATATTATTGGTGTGTGTTTTTCTATTTCATAAGCTGTTGAAAGTGGTGTAATTGAATACTATGAAGAATCGTTATATACTAAATCACATGGCTAGTGTTATAATGACATGTCTATACGATGGGTCTAGTAGTTCTGGTAGAACTGTAGACGGACTGTGCTGCTGTTATTGGCCAACTGTGACGGATCAATGTACAACAGGTCCGCGGTACTAAAAGGCGGCGATCGTATAATAAATTGYTATCGGTAATATAGGAAGCCGAGGAGACGAGAACCAAACGATGTATGTTTCAGTCACCTAATCGGTTTCTGGCTTTGCGAAAAGCGAAAACAACGTTAATTTACTACAATACTGTTGGTGTTAATGATGCGTTAGAGCGAGTCTATTAATAGGTGAAAATGAGTCGAGTGACCGCAATAATAATTTACGCACATATTTTGACGGCCATTGTTTAATCGAGCGTATTTTTAACATTTTCGATTCGGGCACCTCTCTCACCCATGCTTATAATACAGGTTAATTGAATAGGTATTAAAAAAAAAAAAAAACCAAACAATGATAATGGTTAATAATTGAATTTGTTCGGCGTTAACAGAAACGAAGTCAGAATATTAAGTATAAAAAAAAAAATTTCAATAATAAATTATTGATGAATATTAATAAAATAAATACAGTTTATAATAAATATTATCTTATATAAAAACAAATTCGTTTGAGTAAATATGAAGAGGAGTTTTTTCATTCAAACTTGTAAAGCATTCAAACACAATTGTTATCATTGTGTTGTCTTGCAATATAATATAGTTGTTTATTGTTAATAAGTTTTGTATAATGTACTAACGCACTTTGAATTGTTATATATAGGTCTGTGCCAGCATGAGAATAGCGACCTCATGGATCGTCATGTCTCTACTGACCGCCATATTCGAATCGTCTCAAGGCCATGATCATCATAAAGCGCTTAATAGTAAGTTCAAACGTAGTTGCAGAATATTTAAAGTTTAAATAATTCATTGTTGGACGAAAACGCCAAACAAAAATACAAATAAATGGAAAATCAATAATGGTTTAAATCGAATGATTAATATTTCTAAAACTATTTTAAAAAATAGGTTATTATTATTAAGTCAATAACGTTTAGATTTGTATTATATGTTTATGCCTAAATACAATAATGTGACTGTCATCTTAATAAATAGTATCATTAAAACATCTTTAAAAAAAATACAAATGTACTTAAAAAGTAATTATTAATAAATCACCTATGCTGAATAAAAAATAAACCAGATGAAATTCTAAATGAGATTTATGAGCTGATTMTTATCTTGCAAGATTAATTCAACACAGACTACGGATAKGGGTACGATTCAGACATTTTTTTGTTAATTTCCTACGTATGATTAGATTATGATTTGTTTTATTTAATAACAGTTCTAATAAATAATACCTAATACGATGCGGTTACAGTTAAATAAGTTTTTTCAATTTTCTAGTTGTAAACTTAAACATCTAAAATACAATAATACACATAGGTAACGCTATTAAATTCTAAAGACTGCTATTCTTCTAATGGTGTTTAACCTGGACCRATGAGTCTAACRATTACAAAGAAAACAATTGTTACTACTGCAGTACACTGGATATTGATTACAATTTTCGTTTAAATATAACACGATGCACAATGAATCCAAACACCGGGATGACTTTAACTTTTAAGTGAAATGGCATTTCATTAAATATTAATCAATCATTTGTATACTATTGGCAATACATTTTTAATTAGATTTTACTCGGGATAAAAGAGAATAAAGTAAAATATAGTTTTAATTGTGCACAGAGGTCAGTTGTAAAATGCGTTTATCATTGAAATATTGAATACACATCAACCGTTTTGGAACTATAATTATATTTTCAAATTGGATTTAGTTCGACCACGGCAGAACATTTGAACGTTTACTATACACGTAAATAATTTTGACCCAAAACAAATTACATTTGCCGACACGATTATATCGATTCATTGACGGCTTTAAACGGTTTGTGTTGTACGAGTGATTATAACACGATCAATGAGAGTAGGGATATAAAACCTTCAATGAGCAAGTAGGTGAAACGGCAAAACGAAACGTGTGTAGTAGAACCCTTTTCTAAAAATTGTTTGAAAAGTAATTTTCGTAAAATGATAATATTGTTATATTTTACCTATCCATTCAAATATAGGGAAAAACTTATTAAAAAAAAAAACCATCTTTTAAGTTAAGCGCAATGGTTCATCTTCTGAAGAGCTTTTTCGTCCGTCGCTTTCTATAACCCACTCATGACCCATAATTTTTGGCGATTCCAATAAGTCCGTTTTCCTGCCTCATCTATCACAGACAGCATAACTGCAATTAATACATGCCTAATAAACAATAACAATAATTGACAAACGTTACGCGCAGATTACAAGATCAACAAGAAACCGTGCTCGGTGAATAGCCTGGAGGGGACGTGCATGTTTGTGTACGAGTGCATCAACACCGACGGCCGGCACATCGGCATGTGCGTGGACACGTTCATGTTCGGCAGCTGTTGCGCGCACAACCTGACCACGGCGCAACTGGCCATGTTGCCAGACTCGTCGGAGCCGGCGGTGTTGTTCACTCAGCCCGGCGGCACCGGCGTGTCGCAGCGGCCGCAGCGGCCGCACCACAGGCCACACCGTCCGTCCCAGGTGATTACTCGGCCCAACGGCGGGGACGCGGACGGCGCCGGTATGCCGTCGTCGTCGGTGGACAAGAAGTACCACTACCAGCCGGCGTCGGCCACGCAACAGACGCCRAACATGCAGCCGCAGTCGGCTCACGTCAACCGCGTACCGTCCACCAACTTCATTTCGAACAGCCGGCCCAACTTTTTGTCCAGGCCCGCAGCCCAGCCGTACACGACGACGACGACCACAACGACGACGACGACGACGACGACGACACCGACACCGCCGCCGTCGGTCCAGGAAGTGGACGACAACGACAACAAAGTTGATTCAGTCTGGTCACATAGGTTTGTGCATAATAATAATATTATTAAAAGTTGTTTGTTTATATTTAAAGTTGTATATCGCTACTCGCACTGGGACTATAATTGATAAAACTCACGGACCGACCGAGCGATTCGCAATGTCATAATCACATTGTCATGATTGATATTATACACAAGAACCCGCGGGTAAAACGTTTTTGAATGTTCGTATTTGATAATCAGTCAGAATGTCAAAGTGTTTAGGCAAGTATAGGTAAAAATACGATTTCTGCAACCCTCGTTTTAATTGTAGACAAACAACATCAACTAACGTTATCAACAAAATACATCATTTTACAAAAAAAGCTTAAAAATGTAAATATATATTAAAGTTAGTTTGAATACGAGTGTGATGTATAATGTGAAACACTAAAAAATACTAGAAACTAATTATTAATTAACAAAATCCAAAATAAAAATTAGGAGTTTTTGAACCCGCATGCAATGAAACGAATTTGTATGTAGRTAACACTCAAATACTCAATGGAAAAAAGTTGATGTAAATGAATGATAAATCCTATGAAAAGTTATGGCATTATGTATTACTATACACAGCGGACACAAATATATTATGTGATTATATTGATTAATAAATCCACCATTTCAGAAACAATTTGTTTTATTAAGATGATTGAGTAAATCAAGTAATTTATCACTTACAAAATGTGTGTATCTATCAATTTGGTCGAAAATATAGAACTTGAAAACATTGTATAAAATTGGTCTATCGTATGTTACATAATTTATTAATATTTTTAGATAAGTAATAAATGATTAAAAATAATAATTATGCTACTTATAGCCTTACAAAATAATTGTGACTAAAAATACATTTTAACATTTTTAGACCTAGTTGGAGTTCGAATATGGGTAACCATCATTCGTTCATCACCAAGCAAAAGCCACCTCCTCAACACAGACCACAGTATATGATACCATCGTCGACTATGTTGATAACCACTAGCACTAAACCTACCACTACCACGACAACTACCACTACGGCTCCTCCTACGACAACGAGTACATCTACAACCACTCTTGCGCCCGAACCACCAAAACCGACCACTACAACTACTACCACTAATAAACCTTTAGTTATAAGTACAACAACTAGTCCCATGGTAATACCCACCACAGTTTCGAGTAAGCCCGAAAAACATACCGCTAAGCCGGGGGTATCGGCTGAGACCAATCAAAAATCAATGCGTATGTTATCAACATAAATAGTTTTCCTTAGAATTAAATATTAATACGATTTTGTTTTTCTTAGCTTGTGGTTTAGCTCCTTTGCACCCCAGGCACGAAGTCCGCATTGTTGGCGGGAGAAACTCTGCGTTTGGTAGTTGGCCTTGGCAGGTAACCAATATTGTCCACACTTTTTTATTTATACAAAATATTCGAAACAACCAAACTTCCCAATATATTTTATGCGTCTCCACCCATATTTCTGAAATATAAATAAATAGATAAACATTATTATCAAATATAGGTATCTGTGCGAAGGACGTCATTCTTTGGATTTTCTAGTACGCATCGATGTGGAGGAGCTTTATTAAATGAAAACTGGATAGCAACAGCTGGCCATTGCGTTGATGAGTGAGTAAACGATGAGACTCATTTGTTATTATATTGATAAATAATAAATTACTGTGTAATTAATTACAGCTTGCTGACATCACAAATTCGCATACGAGTCGGCGAGTACGACTTTTCATCCGACCAAGAACCATATCCGTTTGTGGAACGTGCTGTTGCCCGGAAAATTGTGCACCCTAAGTACAATTTTTTCACATACGAGTATGATTTGGCCATGGTGCGATTAGAAGCGCCTGTAAAATACACACCCCACATAGTGCCTATATGTTTACCTGGCTCAGATGACCTTCTGATTGGCGAAAATGCCACCGTAACTGGATGGGGACGACTAAGCGAAGGAGGCACTTTACCTTCAGTGTTACAAGAGGTAATAATGTTATGTAGTTTAATTACTTTAATTATGCATGTTTTTTCCATTGTTCGTTATTGTAATATACTTTCTGATTATTCTACGACATATCTACCATTTATTTTTACTGTACAAAACATTAAGTAATAATTTATTTATAATAAAAAAAAGGCAAATTGAAAAAAAACACTTTTTCCCATAAGGTTAGTGTTTAGAGTCACAAAAAAACATATTAGTTCGCTCAGAATTTTAAAGTCAAAATATTACTGTTTCCATAAAATCAAATCAAGAATTAAGTTTGGTGCAAGGGTGTGCGTACCATGAAAATTCCTCCACTGAAATTTCCAACATACCTTAATAGTTTGCTGGCTTCTTTGTTAACTATTATTAACATCATGTAAACTTTAATCTTAATTTATAAGATATTTTTATCTGACAATAAATCGTTTAGTAATAAATAATAATTATTTAAGTAATAAATAATTACATGTGATTTTACTTACCTATTTTTATAACACTAAATATATCAGTTATACGTTTGGTTAGCCTTCGTGGTAAATATAAAACTATATTTTATAACATTCACTTATTATTTTTATAGGTGAGTGTACCAATTGTTAGTAATGACAAGTGTAAAAGTATGTTTTTGAGAGCTGGCAGACATGAATATATACCAGACATATTCATGTGTGCCGGATTTGACGACGGTGGACGTGATTCCTGTCAAGTAAGTAGAAACCAAATATGATTTTTAAATAATATGAGAGTAAGAAAAATAACRCTATTTATTAACCTTTTAAGGGCGATTCTGGTGGTCCATTACAAGTTAAGGGCAGAGACGGTCGTTACTTTTTGGCCGGCATCATAAGTTGGGGTATTGGATGTGCAGAAGCAAACCTACCCGGCGTGTGTACCAGGATTTCTAAATTCGTACCATGGATTCTACAAACTGTCACATAATTATATAATTACCATTATCATGGGGTGGAGTCATTTATGTAGACTCTAACTATAACGTTAATTATACTTATATACATTTGAAATACCGAATTGGTAGAACGTGTACGTTAATTTTCAACGTTAAAAAATTATAATTTTTTTTTATACGTATGTAAATAATTTATACATAATATATTATAATCATAATTTTGTTAGGATAATACCTTGAAATAAATCTATCTTCTGTATGAATAAAGCTATAATATATGCATAGTATTAGAAAAGAATATAATAAAATAGTGATTTAAAAATCATTTTGTATTTATATTTTTATTTTTGAAGAATCTAAAAACTCAGATATTTAATTTTGTTCAAAATCTAAAATACTCATTTATTTATTGACATTAATTTACTTAGGTTTTTGGAATTTTACTACATTCTAAACTCTCAAGTTATATTCAATTTAATCAACGTTTATACTTAATAGTGAAGTGATATAAAAATGTTTTTACATTTTTTTTTGCACGTGGAAAAATAATAAATTTATTATTTTCATACTTGCATGAAGAAATTTTAACATAACATTTTACGACGTAGAAGAACAAGTAATCAGAATATAAATACATTCTGCTATCAAAGGTTTAGAAAATAAATTTATGGAAATATATAACAGTTTGAACATTAATTGAAAAGCATTGAAATATATTTTGAACATATTTTAATTATAGAATATTTAAAGAAATTATAGTTATGTATTAAGCAGCTAAAACATATCTAAGAATCTGTAGAGAATTTTACTTTATTTTTTGGTTTTAATATGAAACAAAATTAATGAAGTAATTAAAGTTCTATATTCCGATAATTTTCAGTATTTGATCAATGTTCTATTACAGTAAACATATTAAAACGGTTATCAACAGACCATCAGATATTTGAAACCTACATAATTTTTATCTTAAAAAAATGACTATGGGACGAAGAGAGTCTAATGATTTTATCATAATATTTACTTCATAATAAATTTCTTATACTAGTTAGTAAATTTATCGTATATTATCGTGTTCGAAAATGTATTAAGATGAAATTTAAATGTATACATATATAATGCATATTATTTCCTGAATCATAATTTTTAATTTAATTCTGGATGTAAAATCTATTATAAAATAGTAGGTACTTTACAGTTGATTTATATATGCATAAAAATACTATTTTATTTAATTTTTCAATAACCCGTTTTGTATTGCATTCGTTTATTTATTAAAGGTTAATAGTTAATATGAATAATTTTAAGTATTATAAAAATAATGATATATATAACTATGCATTTTTATGCAAATTCGCATAAAAATGTACTATTTGCATACAGGAAATCGTTTTTATAGAACTTAAATTTGAATAACAATAATATAAATAATTAAAAATGTAGTATTCCATATTTAGTATAGTGAAACGCTATAAGTTATTCATAAATATTATCCGTTGTAAATATAAATTATTATAGGTAGGTAATAACCTATAAAACAAAAAAATACAGAAAAAAATCATATAAWYTTAATTTAAACAAACTACTAGCGTTATAAAATCATCAGATGTTTATAAAATGTCATGTTTAAATTATGATAAGAACAACATAATACGAGTTAATGAGTATAATATAATAAATAATAATATACTTTAAACGTGCTCAACAAAAATAAATATAATAATTCAGTGGTGTGACTAATAGTGATGTCAAGAAGTGATATAATAGGGTTTCACTCCTATAAAAAATATGTATTATATTTCAATACATTATCTTTTTCTTAAAATTATAAATGCAAAAAGAAATAATAACTATTGACAGTGACAATTTTATTTCTATAAATACTTTACCCCGCTTACAACTTCCATATAAATACACCTTCAGCTAACATCTTAACAAGTCTCCAATAATTCGTCTAAATAATCGAATAGGTGCTACAATTTACAAACCTCAACTACACCCTTCACAATAATCAGCTGAATACGTATATTTTACCCCGTTTATATATTAATAAAATTCTCACACTTCACAGTAAATCGGTAACACTAAACAAATCAATACTACCTAATATTCAGCTGAAAATCGCTAAAACTATATTTGACTTTTAAATAGAATAATAATATTATGTTGTAAATTTTACAAATAGCGGGTAAATGGATATCACTCTAATTTAGAGTTGGTTACGAGGGCCGGGGTCACTGTAATTTATGGTATAAATTTGAATTCGATGATAGAATATAATTGTATACAAAAAACGATTCTGAGCGTAGACGGTTTGTCAGTATAGGATATCTTAACTAAATAATTTATTCAATTTAATACATTTTGTCAAAATTTGAACCTTAAACGGATAAACTAAAAAAAAAAAAAAAAACGTAATAAAAAAATCATACTGAACATATACAAGTTTTTATATATTTTAAAATTAAAATATATTTTGAACCTAAAATTTGTCAAAATTATATATTAACTTAAATCTTAAATATATCATAGTATATTAAATTTATTAATGATCAATTAAAAAAAAGAAGTACGTTTCATTGTCCTAACTATTATATAAGTATGATCATATATATATATTATGATCATGTATATATATATATCATACCGTTGATGTGGTAGAGAAATACATTTTAAGCTGCTATGCATTATGYTAAGTAGTGATAAATAATTGTATTAATGTTAATCTTAGGTATATTATATGATCAATATAAAATTTAATTAAAGTAAAAATACAGTGGTTGTTGTGTATGCAATTTCTTATACATACAAGTGAACTAAGTACCTACCTTGAATCATTTCGCCTTACACCGGTATAATACAATTATATGTTATAGTTATATTTTAGGAAAATAGTAAACTATTTGTTTAACAATTTTAATTATAAAAGAAGTTGACTTTTCCCAGTCTATAAATTTTTACAAAAAAAATTTCAATCAACAAATTTTACATATTTTAGATTCTGAGCAGAGCGATGAATGTATTGATTTTACCATTATGTGTGTTTTTTTGTATTTGTCATCACGTTTTGGGGCAATAAAAGTGCTTCGATTTTAGACTTCAGTACCTCGTTCGACCAAAAAGTGAATCTAGTTGGTACTTTGGAGGGTCAAAAGTAAAAATCTTTCAATATTTTTCTTAATAATTGGGATAAACAAACTAAAAATCAAGGAAAAAATGGGAATTTTTACGCACAATCAATTTTCGACAAAATCGATTTTGGTTCTTGATGTAACTTTTAAACAAATGACAATAGATACATGAAATTTTCACCGAATGGTTATATAAGTTTATTCTATCTATCATACAATTTTCAAAAAATTTCGACTTAAGTTGAACATTTATAGGCATATGCAATTTTCGATCATTATTATTTTTTTAAAATTAATATTGATAAACATTTATTTGTTGAATAGAAAAGTTTGAAAATTTAATACAAGGCTCCTAACATATTTTTACAATAGCTGTTAAAAAATATTCAAAATATTTAAGCACGAACTTTTTTAATAAGCATTCAAAGTTTGAGTTTGTAAAAATACGTAAAAATTATGGCAATGTTCAAATTATCTTATATAGAAATTCATAAAAGTTTTCTATTTAAATCTAAGATTTAATAATTTTTAATAATTTATAATTTATCCTAGACAGATA